CGGGATTCATTACGGTGGCATCTGAGTTGACCGTCATTAAAGCAGATTACGAGGCTTAATCTTCTTGACAATCTCTGAGGCCCAGCAGAGCAGTTTGGCCGGAGCAGCATATAGCTATTTCCCCGGCAGAGCCAGCCAGGGCAGCCCCGCACAGGACCCAGCCTGGGCACAGAGGGCAAGGCTGGCCTCGGCTGAGAGAGGTTAAGGAGGCATCTTTAACCTCGTTAAGAAGATTGTAAGCATCTGTGGCCTGACACATAAATTTGCAGGAAGGCTGCATGGTAGGTGACAACCTAATGAGCAGCTGCAGGGGACTGGTGCCATTTCTGAGACAGCTATGTCAGGCTCGGTGCCCCCCCAAATTCAGGTAGCTGCAGATGTGGGTCAACAGCAGCCCCAGGAAAGTGTTCAGCCATCGGACTGAGGATGCCATTGCTGTTCTCATTCTGGAAGTTGGGGGTTGGAACTCGATCATCTTTGAGGTCCTTTCCAATCCTAACCATTCTGTGATTCTGTAAATTGACTTTGATCACTATTTCTGCCCTTGCACACTTCCTCCAATACCTGCCCACCTGAGCCTGCAGTCCAGTTTGCAGGCAAGGAACTGGGGGCCCTAAGGCAGAACCAAAAGTTTGTCTACCACCTCTCTTCATCAGTCAATCCAAGAGAATGCATTACCTTGCATTTTTACACATTTGCCTCTGGCCAAGGTTTAGCTCAATTTCCTAAGCAATTTCTGTATAGAACTCCTTTCTGAAGGCTTGTAAGAATATTATTAAGAATCCTTGAGAAAAATAACTTAGATTAATATTAACTTGACACCATAATCCTACTGTGATGCGACTCACTCGCATCAGTCCTTTCTTTGTGAATATCCAAAGTAAGCTGCAGAAGAAGCACTGAGCATGTCTTTGTTCCTGGCACTTAAACACTGAGTTTGTTTTGCAGTTTGAAAGGATACTAAATTAGACATTTGTATTTCCTTAGACCATGGTCACTTTGAATTAAATTTTTATCTCTGAGAGGACAATGAGGTTTTTTTTTTCATTACTGCTATCGAATTATCTGTTCTGGTTAATTTGTAACTATTCTTTAAATAATAAGAAAATAGGATATTTTTTCATAGATTACTTTTTTTTTTTTTTAGTAACTACTTAATGGTAACAGGATTAAGTATTTAAGCAGTAAACGAAATGCCATTGACACGTGTGTTAGCTTCTTTCATGGAGTTACTGTATACACAGCAACTTGGGACTGCTGGCCTCCACACATAAGTCAAACGCCTATTTATTTTCCATAGGAATACACGATGGATGTCTTCTTTCGGCAGACATGGACTGATGAGAGGTTGAAGTTTAGTGGGCCAACAGAGATTTTGAGATTGAACAATTTAATGGTCAGTAAAATTTGGACACCAGACACATTTTTTAGAAATGGAAAAAAATCAATTGCTCATAATATGACAACTCCTAACAAACTTTTCAGAATTATGCAGAATGGAACTATTCTTTACACAATGAGGTGAGAGCCTATTCTTCTGTTTTTCATTGACCTTTATTTTTTATTTTTTCAAGCAGTGTTCCTGCATACCTTTTTTTTTTTCATTGTCATCTACTGTGATGTATTCTAGACTAACCATTAATGCTGATTGTCCTATGCGGTTGGTGAACTTCCCTATGGATGGACACGCTTGTCCATTGAAGTTTGGAAGCTGTAAGTTTCTCTGTATCTTTCAGTTTTTTATAGTAATACATTTGCTTTACATGTATGTGAGAAGATCGGAAGTAAGATCCTAGGAAACTACTTAATGACATAGCTTAAATTTTTTATTGTATTTTTTTATACTAGAATCTTACCTTCTCCTCTGTGACTCAGACTATTCATAAGCACATGGATTTATTCATGGAATGGTGGCTGTTGAAGTATATTTTCTTGTTTATTATACTTACATATCTAGTTGTCAAAGTCATTTCTTCAGCAAGTCATAAAAGCTGTAGTACATTTACTATATTCTAGTTTTGCAAATATTTAGTCAATCTGTGGTAATCAAATTTGAAAATATTTAGTTGATCTGTGGCAATCATTTTATAGCAAATTAAGAAAAAAAAGCTGGTTCCTATCAGATCCCACCTCAACCATTCTCTTATTGGTTTTTTTGCATTTTGTCATTAATGAGATTCGGAACTTGCTGGAGCAGGATGCATGTTTCTATGAGTATTTGAGCAACAAAAGGGATCATTCTATTTATTTTTTTCAATTGCTTTTGAATTATATAATTAATGATAGTATTTTTCCCTCTTTAACTCAGATGCTTATCCAAAAAGTGAAATAATTTATACATGGAAAAAAGGACCCCTGCATTCAGTAGAAGTACCACAGGAGTCTTCTAGTCTCCTCCAGTATGACCTCATTGGACAAACTGTATCTAGTGAAACAATTAAATCTAACACAGGTAAGATGGAGCCATGTGGGAACTACTGACATTATAAAACATATCTTGAAAATAAATTGCAGGTTTTTTTCATATAGAACCTAATTAATTATCTTTTGCCATTTTAAAAACTAAAATCCTTCAAAAGAATCTAACCATTGTCTCTTAAAAGATAGCTTTGCAATACAAGCTTTAAGCATACAATTTTTCATGCAATTCTTAAGGATTCCCCCTGTCTCCCTGCCCCAGTAAAAACAATACAAAATTAATATTACTCTTCTCTGTTTCCATAAGGTCACGTTACCTTTTTTTAATCAGCTTATTTTTATTATGCACTAGGAGGCCTGTAAGTGCTTTCTTCAGAACACAGTATGTTGGGTTTAAGCCAATAATGTTTACCCATATGTTGCCAAAATAATGCTGACGTACTTGTCTTTTAACAGGTGAATATGTAATCATGACAGTTTATTTCCACTTGCAAAGGAAGATGGGCTACTTCATGATACAGATATATACTCCATGCATTATGACAGTCATTCTTTCTCAGGTGTCTTTCTGGATTAACAAGGAGTCTGTTCCAGCCAGAACAGTTTTTGGTATGCTGTGTTAAGGTCTTTGAACAGCTCAGCATCACATATACCATTCATTCATTACTTTCATTGCTTGTTTGTTTTAGGTGAATATTCACTTCAGCTGCTCTATTTCCATCTTCAAAGGAAAATAGGCTACTATCTCATTCAGACATACATTCCATGCATCATGACTGTAGTCCTGTCTCAAGTTGTGTTTTGGATCAACAAAGAATCTGTTCCAGCAAGAACCGTGGCTGGTATTCATGTTTTGTTCTTTATCATTCACTTCATTCACTGCATTGAATCCATTGTATCAAACAGCTACTGTAATCCAGTGGGGATTGGGAAAGACAGCTAGTAGGTTTCAATGAACAAAAGTAAATGCAGAAATTAAACCAAATAATACTCAATCTCCCCACAAGGGTCAAAATTCTTTACTCAGAATGTTTGTTTAGCCAGACTTGTGATGTTTTGCTTCCCCTCAATATTTTCTCGTATGCAGGAAGGGATAACTTCAGGGTAAATGTCAACCTCTCAATTTTTTAAAGAGGAGTTTTTCTATTGATTATTCTCTTGTGAAACCAATCTGATTTAAAGCTTTTAAAAAACATAAAATCACATGGTATGGAATTAATCTCATCTGACATAAAGTACCTCATCTAGCACCCATTCTTAAGTGCTCTCTTCCCCTTGTCTACAAAAATACCTAAACAACTATCAAGAACTTTAGATGGATACAGTTAGATGAGATGAATCCTGTCCCATGCACAGGTTGGAGTTGTGTAATATGAAAGGTGTGTCCGTATTGCATGGCAGGGCCCTTTTTATTTCCCAGCGGTTTGAATTAATGCTCCCAAAGCTGTGAGTTTTTTCTCCTTAATTTTTAGTGTGTGCTTTGTGCTTAAATTTGACACACACCCCTCTTCAATATTGTTAGGCTCTGAAACTGCACTCGTTGATAAGGGGTAAACTTTAACTGACTGAATTGTTGTTTCTAGAAAAAAAATCATAAAAATACTAAGCAAAAATAATAAAACTTGTCAAAAGCTTCATGATCCACTACCCATACATGTATGTTTTGCAACCCTACCTTTTTCTCTTTACCCAGTGTTTCTATACAATAAATTTCCTTTGTGAGACTTGTCTTCAGTAACAAAAAGGCAGCTATATGTTCCCTAAGCATAAATTATGCAAGTCTCATAATTCAAAAGGAGTCTATAATTGCAGTTAGCAGGCTGCAGAATTTGTATTATTTGATTTCAGTCAATTGGCATTTCCTACCTGCATGGAATGGTACTCATAAAAGCGTTGCAAGCTTTTAGGAATGTTAAGTGAACACAGCTTCCTCAGTGCCTCTGAAGGAAGATCAACACTTTTGTTCTTGAAATCCCCATTGGGAGCTGGGATGCAGTTCGGCATCATTAAGCACTTATAAGTATTAGTTTCTGGCAATTGGGATTTCTTTAACTGATTGAAAATATGAAAATATCAGGCAACAGATTTTCAAGGATGTCTATTGCAACTGAAGCATAAAATATATGTAGGAGATTTATACACCAAATACGATGCTGTCTGATTTGGGTTTATATTGCATTTCTGGAGTATACAGTTACATCCTCCACACTTTGGGTAAAACATATTTGCTACCTAGTGGGCAGCAGAAGACAATTCTATATGCTTGAAGTAATGTGCAAATAAGTCTTCAGCTGATTCAGTAATAATTACATAGAGGCCTCGAACCCTGGAATAACAACTCTTAGATGTCATACTGAAGGGTAAATATAGAATTAGAAAGAAAAAATCTTTACAAAAATAGTAAAATAGGCATCTTTCTCAGTATTGTGAAAAAATACTCATGTTGGCATTTAAAAATAATATTTCAATCCTTATACCATTCTTACTTCTCCCAGGCACTGTCTGGATTTATAGCCCTTACTAGTTCAAAATCCCACAGATTCTGAATACCTTAATCTAAGGAAAAGAGAGCAAATTCCTTATGACAAAAAAGACTTTCAGGCCCCAGTAAAAAAGAAAAGTTTTAAAACTGAGAAGCAAGTCTCCTTTCTGCATCATATTGCAAATACCTGAATTACCAATTTTCAGTTTTACTTATAAGTTCCCAAACTGTAAGTTTGAAAGAAGATAAATCAATAGTAGAAGAAACACAATGCTATGCCCAAACCAGTTACTCAGAACAAATTCATTTAGCAACTCTATTTACCTCCAAAATGGATGCCAGTTATCTTTTGCAGGTAATATTACAATAAGTACTCTGATCATTTTGCAAAGATAAATTAATGGTCATAAGTAGCTACTCTGTACAGACACGCAAGTCAAAAATGAGAGACAGAAAGACTTGAAGAGACCTTTTTTGTAATTGTGTCATTGGAAAGAACAGCAGATTGCTAGTACAAAATTCCTTATTTTGTGTGGAGCTATGTACGTAGCTATGCATATGCATATGTGTATATATGTGTGAAGTTTTATGAAGCATGGCATTATCAGAAATTACTTAGAATAAGAAGCATGGTTATTGGAGGTCCAATTTTAAGTATGCTCTGAATCCATACAGCAATGGCTATTATTTAACATTTTTGTGTGTCTTTATCTTATCTTTTTTATTCCTGGCAAAAAAATTCATGTGTTATTGTGCAGAAAGATAATAGTCAGCTTCTACCTTCCTAGCAGGTCACCTTGGGAATTTTAAATTAATATCTAGTCATCAAACTTTATTTATAATAAAGTGTCAGATAGGGAAAGGTGTTTGGGTTTTCTTGTTGTTTCATTTTTTAATAAGAAATGACAACATATTTCAGTATTTGCATTATATACCAGATTCTTCAAAACTCACCAAGAAGTGTTCAAAGTGGAAAAACAAGGGTAAACAATCATCAGTTACACAGTTTACCCACCGTAATTTGGCATTCAGCTTGATAGTTTTCCACAGTGCAGAGCATTTTATCAATATTCACTCCACACTAAGAGAAGTCTTATCTATATCTGTAATAGAATAGGAATCCTATTCCTAATTTTA